GTGAGTGAATCGCCACAACGAGAACTAGCTTATCGGCAAGCAAGTGAATCTCGGTAAAAGATCATTGTGTCATCATTTAATTCTGAGGTGATTGATCTTTATTGGTATTCATTTTTGTGATTGATTGGTTCATTCCTCGACTCGGCGGTATAACCATCTTACTCACTTTCTCTTTACATTACCGCAAACTAGTTGTTAAGCTTTTTAGTGTAGCTAGTCGTGAGAGCTTATAGTTTGGTTAGTGCGGCTCTTTAGTTAGCCTTTGAGAGCACACTAACTTAGTGTAGGGACATAGCCATTGTGTGGATAGAGACTATATAAACTAGAATTGTGGTAGGTGGCTTGGATTTTAGTAGGCTAGCGCAACACTCGCTTCGCCTCATATTTGTCTAACCGGTTTGCTAAGTGTTGTTGTAAAAAAATTTAATAGGCTATTCACTCTCCTCTAGCCATTAGGACCTTTCAGTCTCTTGGGAGGAGATGCGTAGAAGAAAAGAGGAAGGTGGGATCGGTTATAGAGACCTTCGTCTCTTCGATTTGGTGATGTTAGCACGGTAGGGTTGGAGGATTCTACAAAATCCTGATTCATTATGTGCGCAGCTATTGAGGGCGAAGTATGGTATACTTGGCGTAGCATTGTGCGTGGACTCCAAGCGTTGCAAAAAGGACTGATTTGGCGGATTGGGGACGGAATGCAAATCAAAATTTGGGAGGATCCATGGATAATGAATGAAATCACCAGGAGACCGATTACCCCCAGGGGCCATACGGTTTTGACTCGAGTAGCAGAGCTACTGCACCCGGACACGGGAAGTTGGGATGAGGAGCTGGTACGCAAGGTGTTCTGGGAGGGGATGACCATGAGGATGCTTTAGCTTGGCACTTTGACAACAAAGGACAATTTTCGGTGAAATCCGCCTATCATGTTTTGGATGATGAGAAGAATCGTATGAAGTCCCGGCAAAGAGGTGAGGGGAGTGTTAGAATGTAATAATAACAGCCCATATTGGGTGTACGGCCCATTGGCCTTGTACATTGTAACCCTAGCCTATTAGGCTATATAATGAAGGTCACCCCCCCTGATTAGGGTGTGCGGTGGCAACTCTCGCGCCGCGCTCGCCAATGCGAATTGGCGCGCGGCCATGGCTGAAGAATACAAGGCGCTCGTGGACAATGGCACCTGGCGACTTGTTCCTCGACCGCCTCGTGCCAACGTCATCACCGGCAAGTGGGTCTTCAAGCACAAGTTTCATGCTGACGGCTCTCTGGCTCGTCATAAAGCCAGATGGGTCGTTCGTGGGTTCTCGCAGCGGTACGGCATCGACTACGACGAGACGTTCAGCCCGGTTGTCAAACCGGCCACCATCCGGGTCGTCCTCAGCATCGCCGCCTCTCGCTCCTGGCCGATACATCAGCTGGACGTGAAGAACGCTTTTCTTCATGGCCATCTGAACGAGACAGTCTACTGCCAGCAACCGCCCGGCTTCGTTGACCCGGCGGCTCCCGACTACGTCTGTCTCCTGCAAAAGTCCTTGTACGGACTCAAGCAGGCGCCCAGGGCGTGGCACCAGCGGTTCTCCGGCTTCGTCCAACGGTCCGGCTTCACTGCTTCGACCTCCGATACATCTCTCTTTGTTTACAAAGCGGGTGCCGACATCGCCTACTTGCTGCTCTACGTCGACGACATCATTCTGACAGCCTCGTTGACCCCGCTTCTTCGTCGCATCACCGAGCTCCTTCACTCTGAGTTCGCCATGATAGATCTCGGGGATCTTCATCACTTCCTCGGGATCTCTGTCACGCGTTCTGCTGACGGCCTCTTCCTGTCTCAGCGCCAGTACGCTGTGGACCTGCTCCAGCGCGCCGGCATGGCTGAGTGTCATTCTACGGCGACTCCTGTTGACACTCATGCCAAGCTCTCTGCTACGGACGGCGCTCCGGTAGCGGATGCCACTCAGTACCGCAGCCTCGCCGGTGCGCTACAGTATCTCACGCTGACTCGTCCGGACCTCGCCTATGCAGTTCAGCAGGTTTGCCTCTTCATGCACGACCCGCGAGAACCTCATCTTGCGATGCTCAAGCGTGTCCTGCGGTATGTCAAGGGCACCCTGTCCACCGGGCTTCACATCAGCACAGGCAGCATCACCAGCTTGACCGCCTACTCCGATGCTGATTGGGCTGGTTGTCCAGACTCTCGGCGCTCCACTTCAGGCTACTGTATCTTCCTCGGCGACAACTTAGTCTCTTGGTCCTCCAAACGACAGACTACGGTCTCTCGTTCGAGTGCGGAGGCTGAGTATCGTGCTGTTGCGCACGCTGTGGCTGAGACTTGTTGGCTTCGTCAGTTACTTCAGGAGCTCCACGCACCCATCTCTTCGGCGACGATCGTCTACTGCGACAATGTCAGTGCTGTCTACATGACCGCCAATCCAGTTCATCATCGTCGCACGAAGCATATTGAGATAGATATTCACTTCGTCCGTGAGAAGGTTGCTTTGGGACAGGTTCGGGTGCTCCATGTTCCATCGTCTCATCAGTTCGCGGACATTATGACCAAAGGGTTACCTGTACAGTTGTTCACTGACTTTAGGTTCAGTCTTTGTGTTCGTGACACTCCCGCTTAGACCGAGGGAGGATGTTAGAATGTAATAATAACAGCTCATATTGGGTGTACGGCCCATTAGCCTTGTACATTGTAACCCTAGCCTATTAGGTTATATAATGAAGGTCACCTCCCTGATTAGGGTGTGTGGTGTTACTCTACATGGAGTAATAGCAGCTGTGCCGTGAATAACAGAAGTGCTATTTGGCGCAAATTATGGAAGCTTCCATGCCAGCCCAGAGTTTGTCATTTTCTATGGAGACTGGCACGCAACAGTCTTGCTTTCAAGATGAATATTCAGAGGAGAGGTGTGCAGCTCGATACAAGATGCCCAGTTTGTCACCGGTTGGATGAGGATGGAGGACATTGCTTTCTTAAATGCAAGCTGGTGAAGCGATGGTGGTCTACTCTTTCCCTTGAGCCGGTTCGCCAACAGCTGTTGTCAAAGCAATCGGCATGGGAAGTGGTGACTGAAATATTATCACTGAAAGAAGAAGTTCGAACTAAAACAGTGTTATCCCTTTGGAAGTGGTGGACTGAGAGAAAAAAAAAATAACAAAGGGGAGAAGGGTCAGGGTGTGGATGGCGTTGCTGCACATGTAATTAACTTGCTGAATGATTTGAGCAAGTTGGAGAGGAAGGAGCCGATCAGGCAGACAGCTGGGAATGCTAGATGGAAAGCTCCACCGCCGGGCCAGCTCAAGATCAATTCGGTGGCTCATTCATCCAGGACACGATGCAAGGAAGTTGGGGCTTTACTGTCCGTGACTATGAAGGCGAAGTGGTGCTTGCAGGGGCCGGTCGACTGGGATCAATCCCGGATGCAATCACAGCTGAAGCAGTAGCGTGTGCCCAGGCTTTGCAAGCGGCTACAGATCATGGCATTTCACTGAGTGCAGGTGGAGATGGACTCGACAATTTTTCAAAAAGCTCTTGTCTCACCATCCATGGATCTCGCATTCTCGCAGCATGCGGAATGTTGATAAGGGACACTCGTGATTTTTTGAATGAGCATTTTGTATGCAGTTTCTATTCCTAGAGCTTGTAATGGGATAGCACATAATTTAACTAAGCTCTCTCTGTGTTGGGACCCGGGTGATCGCCATGTGTGGGCAAGCCCCCTCCCAAAATTTGTAAAGACCTTGATTGCTCGCAATGTTGTCGAGCTTATGGTTCCAATAACAAGGCCATAGAGCCATGGATTGCATAAAAAAAGAGGATACCCAAAGATATGAGAAAAGGATGCACTTTAGTCATCCTGACTGCTTAGGAGATATGGATTATGGAAGCATTTAAATGTTGTTTGAGAGTGTAAGTCTAAATGTGCAAGTGGTTCGGTAAATATTGAGAGGCAATGAGAGCAGCGTTTGGTGCTTTCGTTGGAGCTTCTGCTCTCCAGGAGATAGAGCTACGCCTTTGGTTGCTCTCCTAGAATAGGTATGAGTATTTCTGAGAGAGAGAGAGAGAGAGAGAGGAGTATTGAGTTTTTTGGGTTATTTTTTTTCTGGTTTTTTTGCAACTCTGTAACCAGTGCGTGTTCCTGCGAGTAGATTCTATGTCCTTTTTCTTGTTTTCTTTTCTCTTATCTCAATAAAATGATACGTGGCTACCCTGCTTTATTCGAGGAAAAAACAGGCAAGTAATAGGACAGAACTGCATGCCAAACATAATAAATCCATTTGTCGGGAGACACTCCTACATCTGAAGTCTCCGTCCCTAAATAATTATTGTTTTCGTTTTTCAAGAAACAACTTGACTAAATATATATTAATATTTATGGTACAAAACTAATATCATTAGATAGATCATTGAATTTATTTGCATAATAAATTTATTTAGAGATACAAATGTTGCACGTATTTTCTACAAATCCCGTCAAGCTTATGGCACGAAAACCAAAAGCGACAATTATTTAGGGACGGAGGTTCTCAAGAGTAAAAACAGAGTAGAGAAAAAACGGCAAATTCTTTTCTTTTCTTAGGGATATACGCAGGAGCTTTGCTCATCAGATTTTCTTTTTGGTGCGGACTATATTATACTATAGTAGAAAAATAAACGTTTGGTTTCTTATTAGGAAGTTAGGAACCCAACAGTAAGACAGATATACTGAGACTACTGTATTACGTACATACATTACATCACATGACAAAAGACCAGCCGGGAAAAGCTACTCTTACAATTTGAGCGCACCAAGAATAGAAGCCCTCGTGCAGTTGCCGCCATCTTTCTCCACCACCCAAAAAGGTTCCGACACGCCTAAACATCCCCCCCCAGCGCAGCGCAGCCCACCTATCAATAGCCGACGAGGCGCGAGGACCGACGACCACCGGCTGCTCGCCGTCTCTTTCCCTCGGGGCACGCGCGCAGGAGACAGGCCCGGCCAGGCCAGCAGCCAGCCATGGGCAAGCACGGCAAGTGCAGCCACGACACGGAGGCGTGCTACCCGCCGGGGGCGGACGGCGGCATGTACCCGTACATGATGGAGAGCCCGCAGCTGCGGTGGGCCTTCATCCGCAAGGTGTACGCGATCGTCTGCCTGCAGCTGCTGCTGACGGTGGCCGTCGCCGCCACGGTCAACCTCGTGGGCGCCATCGGCGACTTCTTCCGATCCCGCACCATGGGCGCCATCGCCGCCACCATCGCCGTCATCATCTTCCCCATCCTCGGTACGTCCGTCCGTGCTTCTTTCTCGACTTCTCGTACGCGTATGCACATATACATGTTCATTCACATGGATCATCGGTCGACGTCGTTGCTCGGTGTGCATTTTAAAAAAAATGCAGTGATGATTCCGATGATCATTTACCGGAAGCGGCACCCGGTGAACCTCGTGCTCCTGGCGCTCTTCACCGTCGGCATCAGCTTCGCCGTGGGGCTCAGCTGCCTGTCGGCGAAGGGCCCGTCATACTGGAGGCGGTGGTGATCACCATGGTGGTGGTGTTGGGGCTCACCGCCACACCTTCTGGGCGGCCAAGCAAGGCTACGACTTCGAGTTCCTGGGGCCATTCTTGATGGCCGCCGTCCTCATCCTCATGCTCTTCGGCCTCGTGCGGATCCTCTTCCCCCTGGGAAAGACGGGGACCATGGTGTACGGGTGCATCGCCGCGCTTGTCTTCTCAGGCTTCATCATCTACGACACCGACAACCTCATCAAGCGCTACTCCTACGACGAGTACGTCGCCGCCGCCATCGAGCTCTACCTCGACGTCATCAACCTCTTCCAGGCCATCCTCGCTGTGATCGAAGGCGTCGACTGATGAATGTGAGCATATATACATAGGATCACATGTAATCTAAGCCTACGGCTACCTGGATGGGTTGCAAACTTGCAGGCCAATCTGTAATCCATAGATAGGGTCGAACGGCACTGCCGTGATTGAACATTACTGCTACCAACGAAGTATTGCCAATCCAATTCATTATATCACAAACGGCAGCGAAGGGATCACGCCGGCAAGGCAGCTGTGCGTATGGCAATTGCCGCAACAATGCATTCATCGGCCTCAGAAATGTTCAACACAAACCAAACTTCCCAGGAACGAACTAAGCTTTGCTGGCTAAGTTTGCAATACCATCAATGCATGGAGTAATTTTGGTTCATTCATGAAATGGATTCGGATGGTCTGACTGTCACACCCAAGCCATAAATTGCAGGATTACAAGCTGCCAAGAGGCAGTACCTTCGGCATCACCAGACTTGCACTCTTTGAACTCCTCGTTGTATAAAAATAGGGGGGAAAATGTTGCCAGGGTCAACTACAAATTGCTCAATTCAACATCTAACTGTTTCTAGTATGCCATACACCCACTGGAATAAGCTCAACCTTTAAATGGTCTCAGTGCTCTTCTATCTTCTTCAAATCCTTCATATTCGTCGTGTCCACACTGCAAAATAAACCAAGCAATTTAACTTTAGGAAAATGGACCGCGTCAATTACATATGCTGGTATGCATATGTGAAGAAATTAAGGAGAGTTCTACTACGTTCTCAAAGCCTGACAATGGATCCCCTTCCTTAAGCCCATTCCTATCTGATTTGGTATATTGATTTCCTTCACCTTTCAATTTTGGCTAAATAAAATAGCCAGTAACTAAATCTAGCAGAACTCCAGCTACTTTTTCTGTACAGGTAGTAATAGTAACCTGCTTGTACAAATGAACAGAGAAATAGCACTTGCATATCACGCAGGTATCCTATTGATCACTAAGCAGGTATCACCAATCAGCTTGAATTTCTATGGATGTCTACCTCAAAAAAAAAATGGATGTCCTCGCAAACTTAATTAAATTTATTAGCTCAAAGAATACATGTTTCCAATTCTTGTTCATATTCCAGAATTGCAATTTCTCCTCCTCCAAATAATTAGTACTATTCCAGAGGATCTCCTTCAGTGACTTTTACTTTAGACATCATCATCATTTCTTATCTTCACACTAACAAAACTTTATAATTCTAGCCTTTGCCCAAAACGAAGTAGAACCAACCAAAACAGAAACAGTGGCTATGATAGTAAACATGTGGAAGAGAAAAACTTACGTTGTTCCATAAAGAGCAATCTTGTGAATTTTCGAGACATCACTTCCACTTTGATTGTCCTCAATAAATATAGTCAGGCTGAAATAATAAAAGAAGGCCATTAAAAACAGTGATAAGAAACAAGAGGGAAGAAAAGCATATAAAAATGTACATACCTGCGAACATTTTGGAACTTGACATACTTTAGAGGCAAAGGTTTATTCTGCAGGTAAGAAAGGCCAAGACCCATCTGGGTGAGCAAAACAATAATAGCTGGTATGCCAAAAAAACTGGATGGCCATCAACCATATATAAGAGTAGGGTGATAAGTCATACGTCTATCAAATGATTGGAGGATAGCTCGAGGGTGTCACTTGGTGGATAGTCATTGACATTGCTGCCATTTATTACATAAATATATGGTCATGCACTCAAGCTGAATAGAAAAGATAATGTGTTCTGAAAAGACCAAACTCCAAACAACTCCAGACAGGTGGTAGAATACCTGAAACCCATATGCTCTTTGTTGGAGAAGAGTTTTACTGTTTTGGGGCCTAATATGAGAAAAGGGCATTATTGTTTGAAAAAGAAAGGCAACCATAAAATTGCAGTGACAGAGCATCATGCAGTTCTCAACAAAAAAATTGCCAAAAAAAGACTTGGCGTTAAGTTGGTAACGCATACTATGTTTTCAGTTAGGTCAAAGTACAAGGAAGCAATAAAATGAAATACAGCCTCCCTTATTTGATGCTGGGTCTAACTTTTATTCTCAATAACACTAACATTAAATTTTCCATCAGAGTCTGATAAGCACCATGCGAAAAAATGGGATTGCACTTTTGGTCTGCAACTCTGCAGGTAGGAACCGACACCGTGAAGCAGCAGCTGGTGGAGCTGCAGGCGGCCTCGGCCATGCCAGAGTCCAGACAGAACAGAGTGGGTCTCAAGCTTGGTGGACTGTTCAAATACTATTCATCTGAAGTCAAATCCTCTCATACAAACTCGACTAGGTGTTATTTAAATTTCACTCTTTTCATCCTACAAAACTTTCATTCTTGTAAACTTGTTGAAATTCATCTAAACCTTGTGTGCCCATGTATTTATTTGTATACCATGGAACATTAATAAGTTCTTTGCTACAAACAGAATACAAGGCAATCCACATTTTCACATGGCACTTAACAGCCTTTTGATGGAAAAGAGCTAACAACAGTGCCATATTATTGGGAATGAAAGTAAGAACCCGTGTCAAATAAGGGAGGCTGAATTTTCATGCGGTGTCAAATAGGGAATTGTCTCCAATAAAATGGCGACTTAACACTGGCAATACTAATGCAAGTATCAGAAATCTATCACTGTGGGGATCTCCCCACAGTCTTTTCTTGATAAAAAAACACTGGCAATACTAATGCAAGTTTCAGAAATCTAAACAAGCAAGCACCTTTGTTGCAAGTCCGAACACAAGGACATTTTTCAGCAGCACAACTAACAATGCATTATGTGAAGGGGCCACCAATCACCAGATGTTAATTCATGAAATCAGAACTGATGTTACATGATCCTCGCAGACCTAACATCAATCAGGTGATCTAGCTATCACTATTGCATATAACTTAGGAATGTAGTGCTCCTGCCTACTTTGAACATATAAACTGTCAATTGGGCACAAATCTAGCCTCATCGCACAGAACCCAAACAGGGAGTTGCAAATCTTACCCTCTTCCTCGGGGCCTTTGAATAGTGCGGAATGCAGTTTGACCACCTGCATAAAGGGGATGTAGATCAGCAGCTGCTCGTCCGAATCGCTGGCGAGGTACAGCCCCTCGTCGTCCCGCAAACTCTGCAACCACCAAACAAGCACCACAACGCAATCGCCATTAGAGATCGCAGTACAGCCACGAGCGATCAGAAAGTCAGCACCGACGAAACCCTAGAACTTCCCGGAAAAAAAAGGAAAACCAAACGAACTGCCCCCACCAAAATCGCGCAAAGAGCAGAATCTAAAATCCGTTCGGATCCCAGGAAGGCGCTGGTCGAGCTAGGGTTTGGGTCAAGGGGGAACGCGGCGCCTACCTGCTTGAGCGCGTTCACGATGCTGTGGGACGAGTCCTGGTTGAGGCACTCGACGCCGGTCCAGTCGATAAAATCGATCAGATCCACCTGCCCGCGCGGCACCTGCACGGTCGCGGCCGGGGCGGGGGCCGGGGTGGCCAAGGCGGCGGCGGCGGCGGCGGTGCTGGCGGCGTCCATGGCTTGGGTTGGCTTCCAGAACCCTCTAGAAGGGCGAGGCTGATAAGACGGAGAGGGAGGGGAGCTGGCGTTCGAGAGGTGCTTTGCGTTGCGTGCACCGGTGCGCGCGTGCCGGAAGGAGAACGAGCGAATCCGACTCGTGAGGTGACTTGCTACTCGAGTTGCGGCAGCGGGGACATTCCATGACGCGGTGCGGTCGAGCCGAACACATCAGGGCTAGGGGTCCAGGCGAGAGTTGTCAACTTGACTCCGAGAAAACTGTATGCTAAAATTTGTTTCCTCCCTCATTCTCAAAATACTCCCTCTCTTCTAAATTACTTGCTCGTCCACACAAGAATACAATTCTCGTTGTTTTAAAAAATTAAATGCTTTCAAATTTATTTAAATCTGTTAGAAAAATACTAACATTTATATTACCAAACAAATACCATTAAATTAATTATGAAATATATTTTTTGTAGTAAATCAATTTGAAGATATAAATGTGAATAAGATTCGCTTTAAACTTGATCAAACTTAAACTACTATAGAGGATATGGATACCATAGTTATATTCTTTCCTGGACAGAGGTAGTTTTGGGGAGGTAGGCAGGCCAGGCGGTGGAGACGACGACCGGGCGGCTTCGTGGCCTTGGCGACGATGGAGGCGGCCTGGCCAGGTTGGGGCGGGGCACATCGTGACCGTTCTCGCCGGAGTTAGAGAAGAAAGCAGCGGCAGGAGGGGGAAGGGGGAAGAGGAAGGCTGCCGCAAGCGCCGTAGGGTCTCGCCGGAGCTCCGTAGCCACGGCAGCAGGGGAGCGGGCAGGCTGGACGCGGGTTGGAAGAATATGCCGAGGAACAAGATGAACAGAGGGCTGGATCAGCTGGCCGTTGGATCTTGATCCAACGGCTGAGATCGTCGCCTAAAAAATCCAAAATTCAGGCGTCTGGATTATAGCAATTCCCATGATTTTTTGGCATGTTTGGTTCATGACCTGCCAGACAACGATCCCAACCGTTCGAATTGACGACCTAGGGACACTGCCTGGTCCCAGACGTTTGAAGCATAACCTTATGTCCCCAACTCCCCATATTCAATTAAGGCTGATACCAAGACAAAAGAGTCGATGGATTCAATCGAATGCTTACAACGATACTGATGTTATAGTTCAGAATCCAACAGTTTGACAACGATCCTGATGTTATAGTTCAGAAATGGGCAACAGTTTCGAGGTCTCATGACAACTTAACATGTACTCCATCCTTTCCAAATTATAAATCGTTATGACTTTTTTTTGTACATAGAATTTATTATGTATCTAGACATATGTTATATCTAGATACACAGCAAAATAGGTGTACCAAAAAAAAGTCAAAGTGACTTATAATTTGGAACGGAGAGAGTACAACTTACCAAAAGACACTGAGACAGACACCACGTACAGGACTGATAGGCGAAGGCAGGTCGATTTCAAAACAGTTACATGGAGACGGGAGTACGGGACGGCATCACTTGAAACCACCACCATCAATCAAGGGAAACCCACAAGCACAGCTAACGTAGCACTGAAGTCTGATGCCCAGATTCTAGTAATGACTTTGCTGTGGGCTTCACAAAGGAGGATTGGCAGCCTTACATCCAGTGTTTTTTAAACATCCAGAGTTGCCGCAGTAAACAGGGAGGATTATGGGTGGTTCTGCGATATATCAGGAAATCGGGCATCTCTTGTTGAGCTGAAAAGGTACTGAAAGATAACATGTTTGCTTAAGCTATAAAAATATGAGGGCACAAATGCAGACAGAACCAAACAAAAACAAAATGCGCAATTGTGGAATAAATCAATGAGATGGGATAATTATAAGTGCAAAGGTGCAAACCTGGAGGCTAAGTTGAGCTTAGAGGTTTCAACTTATGGTGGCAGTCTTCATTTTCACATTCAGCCTTGCTGAATCTTATGTTTTTCTATGCCATCTCCTTTTTATCAGCTCAGTATCAACTGATATCAAGCCTGTAAAGAAAACACAGTACCTTTTTATTTCAGGAGTAACTTGCCATCATGTATTACTGTTTTAGATTTTAAACACCCCAAATAGTAGAGGCCTAGCAGGTGGATTTTGTTTTGTGGTGTTGGTTTAGTTCCACATTGGGTTCAGAATAGTCACAAATATAATAGCACAGAATTCAGGCAAGGAACTAAAGTACAATTTAACTCATCAAGTCATCACATGGATTATTATTAATAGCAAAGAATGTGTTTTTTATTCGAGAAAAGCAAAGAATGTGTTTTTCTCAGAAATGGCACAATAATGTCTGAAAAGCACAGGATGTTATACAGAAAGTAATTTGCCGTGTTCATCTTTCTTTGCTGAAGGTCTTTCAAGTATGTACAACCCTCTTATCTTTTCTGCTACAGGTTTTTCTACTTTTCTAGATTCTTCTACCAGTATTCATTATTGACAGTGTTTCATGAGAACTTTACCTGGAAACACTGTCAGCGCTGAAATGTCAGCACTGGTATATCATTTCCCTATCATAGTACACAAAAACATGTCTCAGACCTCAGTCTAGTCCTTCCAACAATATGTTCGTCACATTGTCACCATCCACTGTCTGGTAGGCTTCAACAAGCTCTCTAGCCTCCACCAGACCAGAGCTGCCGACCAAGACACGATGAGTCCTTGAATCAGGCACCCACCCCTTTTCCAGCATTTGGTCTAGAAACTTGCATGCCTCACTCTTGAAGCCTTCTTTAATAAGTCCATAAATAATAATATTATATATTCTGGGGCTCACTGTTCCACTTGTATCTATCACTTTCAGTAAACTTTGTGCAACCATGTTGAGAAAAGAAAACAAAGCCATATCATTGACTAACAATTCAAATGTCTCTTGGTCAGGAAAAAAGGAATGATTAACCATTCTGTTGAACAAGATAGCAGCCTCAATAATTGTCTCCTTGGTGAGGAAAGAGCGCAACAGAATATTGTATGCATACCCATCCAATGGACAACCTTCCATCAGCATTTGTGCAAAGAGAGTCAATACATCTTTCCCCTTCTTCAAATGGAGCAGTGCTTGGATAATTATGCCATAAGTGGAGAATGTACAAGAAGTGCCTGTGCAAACAGCCAACGTACGCAATTTGACTGCTTCGCGGATCTTTCCAGACAAGCAACTCCCTTCAATTAGCATATCAAGTGACTTGTTTGTCAGACTGAAGCCTCTTTTATAGTGATATTTAAAAACTTCAATAGCTTCTTGGATCCTCTTTGTGTGACACAAAATCTCTACAAGCTGTGAGAAAGATTCAATTCAAAGACAAGTTATTAATACTTACCCTTCTGAACATACTCAAGGCATCTATGTACAATCCTAATCGACAGTAACAAGATATAACAGCAGAATAGGTAGTCTCGTCTGGTGCAAATGAAGAAACAACCATTCTACCAATGAGCTCAGATGCTCTTCTGATGTTTCCTTCATTGCAGAACTGAGTTATAACAATGTTCCATGACTCACAATCAACAAAACCTCTGCTGTGCAATTTCTCAAGATAGCTTACTGAATCCTGCAGCCTGTCATTTCTACACAACCATGTCAGCAGCACATTATATGGTTCTGTTTCAGTGACATCATTTTCCTCTAGAAAGATCACAGCATTGGAACTTGGCATTTGTACAGTAACAATTTATCATATCCACATATGTACTTGCCATTGGAGCATGACCCGATGTAATCATCTCTTTGAGCACTATGGTAGCGTCATCCAATAGTTGATTCTCACACAAACATCTAACCAAGGCACTGTACAACTGCAGACTCAACTGAATGTTATCTTCTTTCATCATTCGATGCAACATGATTGCCTCCTTGACTTTACTGAACCTGCAAAACAGGGGCATCACTTGAGCATGGAAGCTGCTATCAGGGGAGCATCTAAGTTGCAGCATCTTATCAAAGAGCTTCACAGCTTCATCTGCTCTGCTGTGGGAACAAAGTGCTGTGATCAGTACCTCAAACGTATGACTATTAGGAGTACACCTCTTCTTGCTCATCCTGTCAAACTGAATCAGTGCCAAGTCTAAACGACCAGATTCACACAAGGCCTCGATCAGCAAATTCAGTGTCTCCAAATCAGGGAGGACTCCCGCCTTGACAATCTCCGTGTACACAAGCATGAACAACCGCAATCCCCTTCCTTGCTTGACCACACCATGCAGCACTCCATTGCAAGCTGAGACTGACAACTTAAGCAGAGAGCTAGCATGCTGGATTACCAGCAAAGCTTCATCAAATTGGTTCTTACTGCTCAGGCACTCAACTAATTTATTAAGGGCCTGCTCCAACGCAGGCACCTTCAGCCTGACCATCTCACTGAGGAGGCTGTCCATCTCATCACGATTTTCCACAGCAGTAAGCCTGGAGATTATACAGCTGTAGGTGTCAACTGTGTGAATGTTATATCTCTGATGTGAAACCCATCTGAAGATCCTAAGAGCCAAGCTCGAGTCGGATGTGGAATCGAGAACCCGGGCTAGACTCTCTGGCCGGAGATTGTCCTTGAGTGACTGGATCGCAGAATCAAACTCAGAAGAACTTGTCCTATCGGCAGAAGCGCGCACGGAGGGCGAATCTGGGCACGAACAGTACATGAGTCTGCCTGATAACAGGTGCCGTCTCGCAAACCGTATGCGAGACACAACCTTCAGCGCCATTGAGGCAGCTACCTGGACACTGACAGCGTCATGCCAGGCTTCGAATGTGTAGGTCCGTCAGTTTGTACTGAATTTTGGAATCTCTGTCCTCCTGCAAGTGTGCATTCCCCTTGTTACTGAAATGAAAACGAGGAACAAATTAAACGAGTAATCTACCCGGTCAAGCTGGGGAGGGTTCCTTACCGACGTAGGCGAGGCGAAGAGGAGAGGCAGAACCAAGTGGCGCTCCGGCCGAAGGAGGGAGCGGCCGCGGGTCCGCCCGGGCGCTCGGCGGAGAGGCGTCGATTTGGCTGGCCGGCCTCGCCTTCGACAGCGCCGCCGGCCGGGGTCGAAGTCCAAGGGAACGCGACGGCCGGACGGGAAGCGAAAGCAAGAACCAAGGAGGAGGTCGATTGACGATTGGGCGTGGCGCCGTTGCGGGCGAGGCTCACTCAGCCCAGGAGACAGCAAGGCCACAACGAGCCCACCCGCGATGCCTGGTCCTGCCGTCGGCCCGTCGCGTGTGCAATTTTGTTTGGGAGACCTGGGCCGGCCGTCGGCCTGTCGCGTGTGCTACTAGGCGCAGCGCAGTGGCACCCACCACTCGGCCGCCATTCTGCTGCCTCTTTTCCCGCCATTCTCCTACCTCTTTTCCATCTCTGCCTTTACCGCAGTCCGCACCGTTCCCCCTGCCCCATGCTTGCGCCGCCCGCCTGCATCCGAAGCAGGCAAGCAGCCGGAGCCACCTTTGCTAGGTCTTCGTCAGGCCGCAACACTCGCTGATCCCGTCCGTGAGTCCACTTCCACTCCGCTGGCCCAGGGGGCACCGTCTGAGGACCGCCGCCGGCCGCTGGAAGATCCTCCTAGTGCCCTGGTGAGGAACGCCTGCACCCCTCCTTGCATCTTGCAAGTCGCTTCCTGCCTGCGACTCTCTCTCTCTTGTCTCTTACTCTCTTCCCGTTACCCCTTGCCCGGATGCCGTGCAGCGTGGAGGTGGAGTACTGGAGTGGCCCCCAAACTCTTTGAACTCCATAAGGTACGCCAACCCTGACCTATTTATTATTCAGTATATCATTTTGTCCCGAAATTAGTTCAATTGATCTAGCCTATAGATGGTAGGCACTGGAATTAGGGATTTATTGGTTGATTACTCATGCATTATGTAATTTGGTTGTTGGATTTGTGAATTATGAAGAGGGATGGAGACATTCTAATTGATGCAAGTTTCAAACTTAATTGTCATATCTAAGACTTACTTTATTTAGTTTTTGTATACCAAATTGCGGGGCACGGTTGCTCACCGATCGCATGTGTAAATTTTGGTCTAGCATCCTAGGTCCGCCACTGACGAATACCCCTTCCCTTGCCTGCTGTGTGAAACCAAGCTCCCAGAACCCTAATACAAGCTATTTGTATTCGGATCTGACCCAGTTACAAGTATATATATACATGTATTATGTCCACTAGCTTTGAATTTTTCTGCAAAAACTATCGCCATGTACTCGATCCAACCTTGATTGGATTCGTAGGGTCCTGCGCGAACTCCACCCCCATCTCCAACCCAGACACCCAGTGCATGCCCTCCATTTCTCGTTTGTCAAAAAGAAAAAAAAATCCTGCATGCCATGCCTTCTTCTGGTCTAGTTTCCTGACGGTTTTTTTTTTCCCTGCAAATGCAGTCCATGCCTTTTTTTGGTCTAATTTGGATTCCTTCGTTTCGTTTGGTACAGGCTGTTTTTGATCTAAGGATGGGTAGGGACGACGAGCCGGTTGATTCTATGGATATTGACGGCCAGAAGCAGCAACAGCTAGAAGCCCACACTGCTGTACCAGAGGGGTTCAGCACTGACTATCTCCGAATCTACTATGGTAAACTGATTTGTTCCCTTATAATGGCGTGGAATGGAGAAGATAAATTGAAACAGGACCGACACATCTTGTCTGTCCATAACTATATGTTTTCTGAAGTTATCATTGATTTTGCACAAAGTTGAGGTCTTGCATCACAGTTTAGGGGCTGTGTTTTTTTAATGAATGCTATGGTTGATTTTTTTTGTATGTGGCCAACACTCTTGTAGTGTAGCGGTAAGCTCTCCAGTTTAGGGAGACATCAGCCAGGTTTCAAATCTGGTGGCAACCAAAAAAAAAATCCCCTTGCTAGCAACCCAAAATATAGTGGCAGGGGGCTCACTTGTGGCGCTTGCGGTTGGTTTGGGCCCTCCTCCCAAGGGGTAGTTGCAGTGGTTGCCAGCCCAGAAGGTCGTGGCCGACCCAGGTTACTTTGCAGCTCTATAGGGTGAAGCTGGATTTCAGTTTTTTTTTTCCCTCAGCCCGTGTGGTTGAGGCTGCATCTTAATCATAATGTCTCTTGGAGTCTGTTCCCTAGGTTTGAGGTTTTTTGGTTGTTCTATGTGATGGAGACATCTAACAGATGAAGAAACAATTGGCTACCATTTGCTTGCTGGAAGAGTTCCCTCTCCAATTTTCTTGAGAACTTTAGTATATCTTATTTTCATACTCCTTTTTCTTTTTCAAGGCGTAGCACATTTTGCTAATCATCTGGTGTAAGGCATGCTCTTTATCTAACTGAGGCTTTTCATTTAAAAACCTGCTCTACTATGTAAGGAGACTGGTTAGTCTTTGATTTGTGCTTCTGTTTGTGATAACAACTTGCATTATGATTGCAGGAAAGCTCTTCCCCTATGGTGATTTCTTCAAATGGCTTTGCTATGGAAATGGTTCATGCTCACATCCTGATTCTTCGATTATAGGAGTTAGCCTTGCACTCTTGCTGTAACGTCCCGCCTCTCTAAGGCCGGGCCCGCTTACATCTGACAGCTTCTCTAGGATATAGACTGCCCTCACAGACCAACACAGGTCTTTTCTGCGCACTTTGTCCTCACTCGTGCGCACCCGGGAAGAACTTCCCGGTCGGTCACCCATCGCTCCAGGCCAAGCACGCTTAACCTCGGAGTTATTTGCAGATGGGCTTCCGGAAAAGAAGTTGCAACTTATTGGTATGAGTATCCTATTAATCCTATTAAGCCCTGAGCCCAGGTGTTACACTTGCTGTGTCTTGATTGACCAAATTTTCTTTTCTATAGATGGAAAGCACCCTGGATGTGATCAGGCATATGTTGGACGTCGGGAGTTTTCACTTACACTGGAGAATGACATCTACCTGTGCTTCCAATCCTTTGATAATGCTACTGAATTGGAGAGTTCTATTAAGGAGAAGTGCCCTTTCAAGATTGATATTGGACCTGTCTACAGTGTAGATGTATGATGCAGCATTGCTAAACACATCATTTTTTGTGTGTTTGATTCTAATTTTCTGCATTACACTCTTTTTGCAACTACCTGATGAATCATGTTTTCTTTTCTGTAGCCTTCAAAGCGTCATGCTTATGCCCAATCTGGCAATAATGTCTTTGTACCGGTGGAAAGGGAACTAATTTTTGACATTGTAAGATAGGAAACTTACATTTTCTTTTCTTTCCCTTTACCCTTTATACCTGTGCAAGCTGTATTCTTGTGTGATGTGCACTGTTGCAAGCTGTCAACATTTTATTTTTTCCCAGGATATATCTGATTATGATGATGTTCGCTACTGCTGCTCTGGAGCTGATGTCTGCTTAGATTGCTGGCCGTTAATGACAATTGCTATCAAAATTTTTGGATACTTCGCTTAGAGGCATGCCATTTTTTTTTACGCAATAAATCATAACATGGACTAGTCACTTTTGCATATTTATCCACACAATGCAGTTGGTTACTGAAGGGCGGGCCTGGTGCAAGCGGTAGAGTCTTACCGCCTGTGACCGGAAGGTCCCGGGTTCGAGTCGCGGTCTCCTCGCATTGCACAGGCGAGGGTAAGGCTTGCCACTAACACCCTTCCCCAGACCCCGCACAGAGCGGGAGCTCTCTGCACTGGGTACGCCCTAATGCAGTTGGTTACTGACTTCCGCTGAAGTGTGCATTTGTGTGCTTATTATAATTAAAATCATTGTTTCCAGATGATTTTGGTTTCAATCACATACTCTGGATATACAGTGGGAGTCGTGGTGTCCATTGCTGGGTCTGTGATAGCGGAGCAAGAAAGTATGCCTGAATTAACTCCTATTTGTCTCCTATGTTTGTGATCTTAAAACGCATGTGTTCTCCTGTTAGGCTCAGCAATGAACAAAGGGCCGCGATTGCTGACTACTTTCGAGTCTACAAGGTGGCACTTCATCATGCGTTACTCTTGATTCCATTTCTTGCCCCCTCCAGAAATCTATTTAACCCTATGAATCTATCTCAGGGTGGTGAAAATGCGCTAAAGAAAGTATCCTTGGCTGGACCTGTCCTCCATCCTTTCCTTGCGTATGTCTTAGCTGTCTCATCAGTTTGTTTGATCTACCAACACACTACACACAATGGAAGAGCTAAATTTATTGTTATGTAATTTATTATTCTCCTGCAGGCGGTCATACACGGATGTTCTTAGAAGCTTCTTTAATGATAAGTTGCTCCTTAACCAACAACTCTTTGCATCAGAGGAGAGATGTCAGAAGATTCTTGATCTTATCCCTGACGAAAGTAAGAAAAGGCACCCTGAAAAATGAACGTTACTCTGACATAGATGAAATCTACCATCCCTTGTTTAGCATGGCATAGATATGTTCGCCATCATTCTGAATTGGATTTCATTTCTAGATGTTGCTAGTGAGCTCCATGGCAAGTGGCAGGGAAACAGACGATCTTCTCTTTCAAAGGAAGATATCAATGCAACCAGATGGGATCAATTGAAGACGACTTTACAGTCAGGAAAGCACAAGGTTTGTTTAATCTCCTAATTACTTTTTTCTGTGTTTAATCCCCTGCGTTCCTATTTACTTTTGTTTGGACATTTGCCTGTTTATCAATCGATATTTATTTCTTTTGATTGTGTAATATTCTGATTTCTCAATTACAGCCATATCTGCTGGCTCATCTTATTATGTTAAATAATAGTGCTAATTATTCTATGTTTCAGGCTCAAGGGCTTCGTAGATGTGTGGAAGAGATTGTCTTCTCATACACATATCCTAGACTTGACATGGAGGTAAAAGAGAATTCATCAGTTGTATGAGTTTGCACTAGTAATGTACAAGGTGGTTCTCACTCCTAATCAACTTTATACCCATGCCAGGTATCAAAGCACATGAATCATTTACTAAAAGCTCCCTTTTGTATACATCCGAAGACAGGTAAAAGTCATAATGCATTCAATTCCCGACTTCCTGTATTAGTTTATAATGTGATAATAAAGTGGCATGCTCTTATGCTCAGGGTTCTACATATGCATGGCATTGGCATGTCCCTTTAAAACCTCTAGACTCCAGAGCAGATGCATTCACTTAAAATACTTGACCTTTTCATTTAGTTTATTCTGTCAAGTCAAAGTCAACTGAATTATTCTAACGACTGGAGGATTTTTTTTGGTCACACACCCCTTTGCTGACATTTTATTGTTATTTCTTTTTCTAGGTCGTGTTTGTGTTCCAATTGATCCCAATAATTGTGATGATTTTGATCCTGCAGCCGTTCCAACTCTATCACAGGTATGGTCGGTCCATAGAGCCTAGCATGAATTAAGACACAGTGACACACTATCATTTCATATTCTTCCAAGCATCATGGTACAATGCTGATTTGCTAAAACAAGTACACTTATACAACTTTTAGGAGAGCTCAATGCTGCTGGTTTTCAGACAGATTCTGAAAATAGTAAGTGATTATAGCCATTCACCTTTTGGGATTTGTGTGAACATATATTATTTCGTGATTGCAAAAAACAAAAGGCATTCTAGTACCATGCAGTTTTGCCTAATAGGCTAATATGGCTTGGTTTTTCACAATCCTATTATGAGTTTCAGATTGGGAAAGAATGTCCCTAGAGAAATCCACCAGTTTCTTCAGAACATCCTTTCTGGAACCATTGCTGAAAGCATGCAAGGTACGGACTATATTCCCTACATTTTTGTGGCAGTGCCGCAATCCTTATGCATCTTTATGAATAATCCAAGTCCTGCAAAATATCTTTGACAGCAGAAACTTAGGCACACATGATTGTTTCTGCTGTCGAAGATTTTTTGTGATCTTGTGCTTGAAACCATATGCCGCAATCCATATGTTAGGATTCTTGCTTACTTTCAGCTACGCTCTTCTCAAGTCCTTGATATCATGCGATCTTGTGCTTGAAACCATTTAATGTTTCCCTTGAGCATTCTCTTACTAGGAATTAACTCTTTTCTATCTCGTGATTCTGACACATCCTGGGGCATAAGTCTGAATCATTTTCTGCCATTTAATTTTGCAGGAGGAACTGGAGAGTGCATACAATGCAAAACTCCAGCAATCCAAGAATTCCTTGAACTCGTAAAACATATGCATGTTTCTGTTTCTGCTATGTCGATCTGCTCCCCCTCCCAGAGTATTTCAACTGGGGCACGGACCTTGTGCTAATGGATTAGGATTATTTCTGTGACGTTGCCTGTCTGTGTTGCATGCCTGGGATGCATCCTACGCCCTACACATGCAGGACTTGATATCTTTAGGTTTAAGTGACTTCAGGGAACAGTATTTTTCTCTCACAAATTCCTCCAGATTCGTCCAAAACCATCCAGATTCCTCCAAATTCCTCCAAGCGAACGGGACCAATATAGCGCACTTGCTGGCTGACGATACCATCCAAGATCGTAGGCTACACATATGTAGCAACTTGGAACAAGTCTAATTGCATAATGTGATCAATCTTTATAAATGACAGCAAAATGCAGGCATCAGACCTGTATTAACCTTCTGTAGATATGTTTAATAAGATCAGCAGAAAGATTATTTGTTTGCTATCAGCCGTTGTAGGCAACCCTTATTTGTTTCATGTATCTTAAAGCGGGCCGCATCATTGATCTCAAGAAAAAAAGTTTGTTACTAGTAATGACGTGAACAAGAAAACAAAACAGAGCGCGTAGTGTGTACCGCGTCGCATCTGAGCTGACACGGTACGTACGCGTACGTGACCAAAGGGTAACTGATCGAATCTCCCTTGCTTGGTGCAGTTGGTGAGCATGCACGCAAACACGCAGTGGTTGTGCAGAGGCACACGTCAGTACGTCACGCAAATCTGTCCATGACCATGGCCATGATAGAGATGGTCGCCTCTAGACTCTAGTTGGCTGGCTCAGTCCTCAGCGCCTAGTAACGACGCCGATCGAGAATAAAAGATCACATCGTCTCTGCGCAAGTGGCATTAGTTAGTCTTCGTGCTGACGCGAGAGCGGAGCGCACGTCGCCTGTCGTCTCACTGTGTATTTGCACATCTACACATTGCACGTCGCACTATGTACACATTTCGTAAATTAGGCCTGTTTAGGTCTACGGGGAGCCTAATGCTAAAGATTAGCCCTTATTATAATGAAAGGGCTAAAGTAGGCTAAAGTTTAGTCCACGAGGCTGTTTAGATCCAGGGGCTAGAGATTAACCATGTACCCTACCATGACACATGCATTTGCCCCTAATTAATATCTATGCACGGCCATGCATAGAGATGTAGGGGTAATATACGTTTTTTTTTGCCCCCATGGTACCACTTTTAGCCCTTTGTAGCCCACCTTGAAGGGGCTAATGAAAAGAATTCACTAAAGTTTAGCCCTCACTTTTAGCCCTCCTATTTAGATCATGATGGCTAAATTAGCTCTTAGCCCTCATGGACAAATAAGGACTTAACAGCTATTAAATAGAAAAGTCGCTTCCTGACTGGGTCTTCGAGTCCCGCGGTGGCGAAAAGACTGCGCCAATTAATGTGTGATATGAAATGGAAGCAGAGTGGCCAGATTAGTATTGTGTTAGCACTTAAAGAAATGAAATGGCACTCTCGGCGTGTTTAGTTCCACCCCAATTTTTAAAAAGTTGTTATAGTACTTGTCACATCGAATGTTTGCGACCCGTGCATGAAGCATTAAATGTAGACGAAAAGATAAACTAATTGCACAGTTTGGTGGGAAATTACGAGACGAACGTTTTGAGCCTAATTAGTCCATGTTTGAACACTATTTGTCAAATAAAAACGAATATGCTACAGTAGCTCCAAAATCCAAATTCCTACAACTAAACAAGGCTCTACTAAGAATTTGTCAAACTTAGGGGTCATCATGGCCCTCTTTATCCTAACTCTAGTCTCTCAGGCTAGCTAGTGGCATTAAGTTGGGTTCTTACTTCTCGTTTAACAAAAATGCTATTGTCAACCATATCCGCGAAACGTTTGTAGTGACTTCTTTTTCAATCTCAAGATTTCCTAGCCTACTCTTTTAGAGATGCTAATAAAGTTGGATGTATGTATGGGTTTATAAAGGTGAGCACGTGGGCACGTATGTTAGCATCTATGCCTAAACTATGATTTTAAAAATGGAGTGAAATACACGGTAGGTCCATAAACTTTTAAAATAATTATTTGAGTCCTTTAACTTTTTCAAGTGATTTATTCTAAGGTCATTCTAGATTCAATCATAGGACTAAATTTACATTTTACAATTTGAATGGACTACCTAAAAAGTTAAAAGACCCGGATGATTATTTCATCGATCCAAATGAGAATATATAGAAAGGATGTAATTCTAGGATTCATGTGTTGTTCAGAAAAGAATACAATTCTAGCTTCATAAGTAGGTGTCGTATCCTAAAATGTGTACTCTATAGATGTATTGTATGATGCAACTAGCTATAGAGTTTATAGGTGTAATCATTTGCTTTTGTCACATCAACACATGTGGAGAATAAAAGAAAACAAAGGTACATGCGTCTTTTTATTTGTATGGTGTGCTAGCTTCTTCCCAATGTGTGAAAATTGTATTCTTTGAATGGAGGGAGTACATTGTATTTGATTCTTAAGAAAAGTTTGACAAAGACTTTTAACAATCAAGATGTCACGCTGGTAAAAAAAAATCATGATCGGGCCATTCACCCGTTATGCGCTGGTAAAATCATCAGAATTGCAACCCCTAGCTTTAGTCGCAGCAGGAGCTAGAAATGCTTTTTTTTTTACTTTTTTAAGGCTAGATATTTTTTTTAAAAGAAATAGTTAAATTTTAAGAAAAAATCCAGTACAAATGGGGGTCTTTGCCTCCCCCACCTCCGCAATCGCCTGCCTCGTTGCTAATTGGGCGGTGTTTGTTTGAGAATGTTAACTTAGCCAGCATTGTTTTTTTTTTGTTCTTATCTCTCTTGCTCACAAATCTTGTATGTTTGGACGACCTTGGCATCGAGGTTCAGACCGGTAATCGCCTGCCGAGTTTCTCTATTAAAAAACTCAACAGAAGCCAACCAGATTATTGGGCCTGTTCGCTTGGAGGAATTCTGGAGAAATTTGGATGGTTTGGAGGAATGCTGGAGGAATTTATGAGAGAAAAATACTGTTTCGTATGAAAAAAAGAAGCAGATTAAGTCGAGTTTAAGGGCACGCGAACGGGGCCATTAATTATTACATGTAGTATGTATGACACATCACCCAACCCAACATTCGTGTTGAAATTATCTCCAATATATAACGAGAGTATAATGGTATAGAACTATAGATCCCCTTGCATAACTCAGAAGGTATTATTTGGTCAACACACGCAGCCGACACAGGGAGAGGCAGTGGCTAAGACGTCATCATAATTCATAAAAAAGCAATAAGAACAGGGACCAATTAGATGAAGTGATCGTGTCAAATACTCTTGGTATGCATTCAATATTCATGCATACCGATAAATAGAACTGTTTGGGAATTAGAGCAGCTGCCATTATTTTCCTAAAAAAAAGAGCAGCCGTGTCCATCACCATCGGCGGCAACAACTAGCAAACGCAAATAATCCATGGAGCACAAGAAACATATACAAGATTGAAAGTCAGAGCTCCTGTCACTGCGTTAAAAATGACGTACAAAGGTCATAAAACACAAGAATATATTTCAAGGAATTTTGATAGGACATGGGCACCACCAGCTCGTTCGAAGTTGCAGGGCATTTGTGTTGCTTTCCAAGTAGTGCATGAACAACCAGATAAACCGATGTTTGAACAAATGATGCTTAAATCCCCTACTGTACCATGACAAAGATGCACTAAAACCATGTTTTGTTATTAAAATAAAAGTAACTTCAAATTACATGTTCAGAGCGACACAAGAGGATGGATCACACACACATGCATGAATAATGAGCGAAAACGAGAGCAATACCTCACCAACGGCCAATGGGCGACTCAACGAACCTGACGTGCCACCAGCATTGTGCAGCCGCTGCAATGAACAGCAGCAAGTCGCAGGTCACGTCAGGATCTGATGCAAACGGTTCTGTGCCGGGGTGTGATGTGAAGGTCTCGCGCTGCAGTCTGCGAAGTGCAAATAATCATGTGGTGATGAGGAGGACATTACGAACGAAAATCCCACTGGTCAAGAGAAAAGAGATGACGGATTAAGATAGGGGTTATGGAGGATGGTTGACCCACCACCTTACATGGCAATATAGTGAGATGAATTGACCACCATCTGAATGCGATTAGAGATCTGAAAACAAAAGATGCAGTGCAGGCCTATCATTAGTATACTCCTGCACCAACAGACAAGATAGTATTTATATCTCAGTGTATTTCTTTGTCCATATTCTTTTCTTGAGATATATCACATATAATATACTCTTTTGTTTAGATTTTGATCCGGCGTGGGACAACTATTGGCAAATTGTTAAGCTGCCGGATTCAGTTTATCCTAATGGAAAACTACGTAGGAGCTCCTCTCCTCCTGACGTGACCGGACGCGGTATCATTCTCATCATTTAGTCCACTATTCCTTGGTTTCAAGTACACCAACTATTCATCTAAAAACGGTACAACAATTCTATGTCTTGTTCATCAACTCATCAAATTGTAGCCCGTGTTTAGTTGTTCATTCATGCCTCAGAAACAAATGCAAGTATTTGTCAAAAAAATATGTAGACAGATAGGCCATGTTCGCTTGTCTTAAAATCCGTATTTTTCAGCTTATTTTTTTAGCCGGAATAGTATTTTTCTCTCATAACAAATCAACCGGAACAGTGTTTCGGCTTGTTTTTTTAACGAAGCGAACGGGGCCATAGAATAGAAGGTAGGAGTCATGTGTGCCACTGCCAGAGTTAAAAAGAATCTTTCTGTAGGAGAAGAGCAAAAAGGCCTAGGAAATAGGGTTAGTTGTTTTTTTAAGAATAAAATAAATCAGGCTGTTAGTAGAGCAAAGCGATATGGCTGATCGCCTAAATCCTCACAAAAGTAGGCTGTAGTACTAGCTGAAATCGATGACCACCGAGACTGAGACACTGAATAGTGAATACAGAGAAAAAAACTGCCCCTCGACTATTATTCTAAACAGGAAGCATCCTTGAAGCAGCCAAATTGTCAAAAATTCGTGCAGTGCAGGCGACATGATTTTGGTTGAGCATAGAGGCTAAAGAAGGTTATATAAACAAAGCTAAAGGAATAGCACAAGCGGCCAACAAACACGGGGAATAACTAGGGACTTCCGAGTCCCTCCTGTTCCCTCAAAAAAAAACACGGGGAATAATTAGACCTAAAGCGTTTCTCTCTCTTTTACTTTCGTGTTGTAATGAAAAGTACCGGTACTGATACGATTTTCAAAGGTACCGATACTTGGCTTTCTCATGCAATCATTTGATTGAGCACTACACAATCCATCTTTTAGTGTGTATGATTTGAAAATCAGAGAAAGAAGAACATAAGCAATCAAGTTCAGTGAAAAAGGTACTAACAGTAAACACATCTTATGAGTGGGTGAGATTTCAGGATCATCTTATTAAAGGATGAGATTAGCAGCTACATAAACAAGCTCAACTGTTCAAGACAACAACTGGAAGAACTCAGCTAGCTGTCTATTCATCAATCAACAATAAATGGGAAATGATTCTATGTTCCATATTGGTACAAATCCTGAACCAAGTAAGTAGAACGAGACAACAATGTCTGTCACTAACAAGTAACAACAAACCCTAGTCCTGGGGTTTTTTTTACCACGTCCACCACCACGAAAGGGGGGCCAAAAATTTCGACACAACAGCAAGAAAGCGAAAGGATCACGAATTCACGAGCAGGCAGGTCAATTAGGTAGGAAAAATCTAGTCACTGCTGCCCAAATTTTATCATGCCCCCAAACATGAACAAAATGTTTGCAAACGAAGTGGTCCACCGTGCCAATGATCCAAGCACAATAAACAAAGATAGAGGCCATGGTGCACGCACAGAGGCCCAAAAAACAAGTCAGAGAAGCCCCAAAGGAAGCGCCTATATATACCAAATTGAACACACGGCAACAGCACACAGTGGACACGAATCACTAGTAGACACAGCAAGAAAGAGACCAAACATTCCACTGCCCTTACCGTTGCATGCAGACAAGTGCAGCCCGGCGATGACGAGGGTGAGCTCGAGGGCGGTGGCGGCGGCGTTCTTGGTGCTCGCGGTCGCCTGGCCGCTGCTGGCCTCGGCCCAGCCGGCGCCGAGCATGCCTCCGCCGTCCCTGCCTGCGGCGGCGGCCACGAACAACTCCCGGTTGGAGAAGGCGTACGTGGCGCTGCAGGCGCTGAAGCGCGCCATCACGGACGATCCTAAGAAGCTGACCAAGAACTGGTGCGGGCCCGACGTTTGCAACTACTTCGGCGTGTACTGCGCGCCGGCGCCCGACGACCCCTGCCAGCGCACGGTGGCTGGCGTGGACCTCAACCACGGCGACCTCGCCGGAACGCTCCCTGAGGAGCTGGGCCTCCTGTCCGATCTCGCCGTCTTCCACCTCAACTCCAACCGCTTCTGCGGCTCCCTCCCCGAGTCCCTACGCTCCCTCCACCTCCTCCACGAGATCGATGTCAGCAACAACCAGCTGTCCGGCCCCTTCCCGTCGCAGCTCCTCTGCCTCCCCAATGTCCAGTACGTCGACATCAGGTGAGCACGCATACAGTACACGCATCAGATTACTTGAACCTGCGAAAGAAGCTGTATATCAGTGCAACTTAATTATGTGTTGTGTTGCATGTGTGTGTGAACTGTGAAGGTTTAACAACTTCTGCGGCGAGGTGCCGGCGGCCATCTTCGACAAGAAGATCGACGCGCTTTTCATTAACAACAACCACTTCGAGTTCTCGCTGCCGGACAGCTTCACCAACTCGACGGCGTCGGTGATTGTGCTGGCGAACCTGCCGCGGGTGAGCGGCTGCCTGCCGAGCAGCATCGGCGACATGGCCGGAACGCTCAACGAGCTAATTCTTCTAAACAGCGGCATCTCCTCCTGCATCCCGCCTGAGATCGGCAAGCTGGACAAGCTCACCGTGCTCGACCTCAGTTTCAACAACATCGCTGGCACGCTGCCGGATACGATCGGCAACATGCGCGCGCTGGAGCAGCTCGACGTCGCGCACAACCAGCTCGCCGGCGAGATACCCGAGAGCATCTGCGAGCTGCCGCACCTCAAGAACTTCACCTACTCGTACAACTTCTTCTGCGGTGAGCCGCACCGGTGCCTCGAGGTGCCGCGCATCGACGACCGGCAGAACTGCATTGCTGGGCGCCCCGACCAGCGGCCAGGCGAGCAGTGCATCTCATTCCTACACCAACCTCGGGTACACTGCGACGCCCACGGGTGCATCGCGCCACCATCGCCGCCGCCGCCGCCGCCACCGCCACCGCCACCAGTGCATGCTCCTCCGCCGCCTGTATACTGATCTGTGGTAACTTGTAATTGCTTCCTGCCTTGTGGTGTGAAAATTGAAGGGTAAATGCATACACATGATATATACTGTAATTTTTATTTCTCAACAAAGAGTAATAATGGATTCATAGATTTTCATTACGAAACGCTTCGCATATTCTCAAAAGAAAAATATTTGCACTGCACAACTCAACTGAAAGTTTGGTGAAAGACACTTATCAATGTAATTCCTTTATTTCTTGTATTGGTTTTTTAATGTTGTAGTACTGAAAGTCATAGCTAAGTAATGTTCTCTTAGCAGTACGATCTGCAAATACTTCACTTCTCATCACATTTATCAGTATAAATGGTTGAGTTATAGCTGTAGTTTAGATGAGGGACCATGTCTAGACAGAATTAGGACCACTGCTAAAGTGGGAGGAAACAAAGAAAAACGACATAAGGATAGCCGCATTGTTTTGCCATTTACAGGTTAAAAATCATATAAATGTTGGGATAATCGTGCAACCTTTGGGTGTTCATAAGAGTTGGTACATTACAGCATGCTAGTTTCGCAATTTAGATACCAACCATTGTTGAAAAGTTATGTTTGACAACAATATATGACCTATTCAAGAATTGAAGCTAAGAAAACAGAGGATAATAAATTAAAAAGAATCTAGTTCAGTACACCAAATGATGTACAGTAGTGGAATAATGCATTTGATAAGGATGGTCAAAGGGGAATATAAAAAGGTGCTCTCATGGATTCCAGCTGCAAAGAGCGTTTTCTTGTACTCTATGGTTGATCGACTCAAAGGGCAAGAAACTTCGCCTACCTCTCATCTTGGCTGGCTCCAGGCAGGCAGGCAGGATTTCTTCATGCAAGTACTCAACATACATCTTTACCTTTATCCATATAACTTCTACTTCATGTCCTTATCACATGATCGACCTACTAAAAGATTACATAACTGAAAAGAGTATGATGTGCAACATCCAAGTATATCTGGTAAGAGTAAAGCATGCTAACGATTTTGTGGAGATGGGTAAGACCATAAAGCTATGTAAAGATGGTTGTGATGGGAACATGAACATATGAAAGTATCACTGGAGAATGCAATCTCAATTTTGAAACTGAGTGATCAGGCTAAATGGGATGGCTGACTATTTTTCACAGTTTGATCAACTGAATGACAAACCAATAGATGTTAACTAGGGAAAGTAGGATAAGTTGGTGCATAGTGCAAGTAGAGAATAAAATGTGACAATGACAGTGACTAAACCAGTATTATACCAAGTGTAATACGGCTACTTACCCTAAAACAAATGACAAAAAGCTGATGGCATCATTCTTACACCCATTATTGAGACTAAGTCATAGAGTCGAGGACCAGGTCATCAGAAAATCAAGTCTGGTAAGGTAGCAGGTGGCCTAATGTGTTCTCATTGCAAAGAAGACACAAAGCCAGGGTCGGTCAACCAAGTTTCATGGACACGGACTGACGGATAACATACAATTTCAAGTTTTCAACATTCGTCAACAAATCGCAATGTGTATACATGGTGTATATTTCTGATTTACCTATTTCTCTTTTCAGTAATGCACTCATGCTGTGGCTTAACTCTGTTCAAATGCTCCAGCTGTCCAGCATTTAATTGTGCAATTGTAGCTAAATAAATGTGGTTTCTTGATCTATCTGTGAAATTAAATAGTGATGACTGTTACGGGACCAATATGGTACACTACACTATGCCAGTAGTATAACATATGGCCTGAATTCTGAATAACCATTATGACTATCATCAGACATAACTGAATAAAGAAAAGGACTCCTTAGACTTTATAACTGGTTCCTAAGATAGTTATATGACATAACCATAAAGGCGATGCCTTTAATGAAGAGTTTATTCCAATTAATTTAGGGAAGATTCAAAGAAAGTTTTGGGGAATCCTGAACCATATATCAATGAAACTCAAATAAAAACACCTTCTTTTTTATTAAAAAGATTCAGTTCTTGGTTAATACGGTGATCTTTTCTTCAAGCAAGCAGAAGTTATGCAGTAATATTGTACCGACGGGAATAGGCGACACATAATAGCTGTAGGCAAGGCAGAACTCAGTGAATAATGCTGATCGATATGCACTCAACTCAGAAAATCAGGAAGTTACTTGGCTTTGACTATAATTGGATATTCAACAGCAAATTCAAGGTTACATAACCTAGCATCATTCAGTGCCAATAATATTCATAAAAAGAATCATCAGTCGTCAGTAGGTTTTCCATGGATATACAGATTCACCATACCTGAGTGGAAGGCATTGCAATACAAGATATTGAGGTACAAGAATTTTGTTCCTAAAAATCTACCAATAGTCACCGCAAGAGCAGATCCCTTTTTCAAAGTGATGGAAGCGGTTCAGATCTCTGAGTATAATTCGCCTATTGAAGACCATTGAGACAAGCTTTGCCATCGAATGGCAATCTGGGCATACGCGGAGATTCTTCACAACACGCAGTGTAGCTCCTGGAGCAGTATTCAGAAGCCCAAAAGCAATTGCCAGCTTCTCACTATGGTATTTTAGGCTTATTGCCTTCTCCTCCTCATCCATTTCGACATGAAACACATGTGAAGTATCAGGGACATAACCGACAAGTTTTAGTTGATCGATCACTTCATCAACCATTTTCCGTGCTTCTTGTGATTTGGGGTGCCTTCCATCTCCTGCGAAGAACTCATGAACCGTGTTATCTATCTCGATTGAGCTGCAGCCAGGCACCTTTACCACACCTTTTTCGCTCATCAGTTTTCTTACCCTATTCATCTCTTCCCAGTATCCAGTGTTTGCACACAAATTCGAGAATATTACATAGTCACCACCATGAGAATCGTCCAGCTCAAGAATCCTCTCAAAGACACGCTTGCCAAGTTCGACATCTCCATGGCCTCCACAAGCAGAAAGCAACGTCCTCCATAAGATGGGGGTGGGATTTATTGCCAGTTCATCAATGAACTTATAAGCTCTCTCCAGCTGCCCTGATCGAGCTAGTAAATCCGTCACACAACCATAGTGCTTGATCCCTGGAACGATACCATGATCTTTCATATCATCGAAATACCGAAGCCCTTCACTCACCAGACCAGAGTGGCTACAGGCATAGAGCACACCAAGGAATGTAATATCGTCAGGCTTCATCCCTTGCTTCTTCATCTCTTCAAACAGTGAAATGGCTTCCCTGCCATAGCCATGGTTAGCGTACGCAACGATCATCACTGACCAAGCCTGCCTATCTCTTGATTCCATCCCCTGGAACACAGCAACGGCGTCCTCCAAGCTCCCACACTTTGCATACATGTCAATCAGCGCAGTGCTGACCTTGACGAGGGAACCGAGCCCTATCTTCCGAACATAATCATGGACCCACCTCCCCAGTTCGAGCGCCCCGAGCAAGGCGCACGCCGAGAGCACGCTGATCACCGTCACGGACGTCGGCTTGAGCCCCTTGGCCTGCATCTCCCGGAACAGCACCAGCGCCTCCCCGGGCCGGCTGCTCCTGACGGCCGCGGCGATCATCGCGTTGTACGAGACGACGCAGCCCCCGTCCGTCCGCCCAAACATGACGCGCGCGGCGCGCGCGTCCCCGCACTCGGCGTACATGTTGATGAGCGTGGGGCGGACGTAGTCGTGGCCCGCGGCGCCGAGCTTGACCGCAAGGGCGTGCGCCTGCCGCCCTTCCTCCCCCGCGCGCGCCGCGGCGCACGCCTTGAGCAGCGACACGAACGTGTACGTGTCCGGCGCGACGCCCTCCTCCAGCATCCGCATGAACACCCGCGCCGCCGCCGAGGCGGAGGAGGAGGAGCGCGCGTAGCCGCGGAGCAGGGTGTTGTACCAGACAGCGTCCGCCGGGTGGGGCACCCTGTCGAACACCTGGCGGGCGTAGGCGAGGTGCGCGGGGCCCGCGGCCGGTCCGGTGCAGAGCGTGAGGAGCCTGGTGACCAAGGCCGGGTGCGCGGCGAGGCCGGCCTTGACGGCGGCGCCGTGGAGCTGGGCTAGCGCGCGGAGGCTGGTGCAGTGCGGGAGGTGGGAGAGAACCGGGTGCTGCTGCGGTGGTGGGTTCTTGGGCTTGGCGGGAAGGAGAGGGGCAGGCGTGGCGGTTAGAGGCGCGGACGACATGGCCACCCGCCCGTCCCGTTATCTTCGAGAGACGCGGGGACGCGACGCAAGACAAAGAGGGATCGCCGGAGAAGAGATTAGCGACGCTCGACGCCGTGGAGATTCTACTAGGAAATTGCAGATGCGGATGGGCCCCTGGGCCTGACGAGGCTGGGCCGAGATCTGGTTAAATCGGGACAGACATCAAGGCCCAGGCGCCGTCGCGCCAAGCCTGGCCGGCTGGCCCTGGCGCCGCAGAACCCAGGCAGCCACGCCATGCGTCCGTGTTACCCGTGTACACGATGCATCCACGCCACGCGGTTCCATGACCATGGCCATGGCCCCGACAAAGAGAGCACCAGTTCCCCGTTTGACCTGGGCACGCGACGATACCAGCCAATGGACGGCCACGGCCAGGTCAGCTCTGACGACATCAGAAGAACAGGGCAGGGAGCAGGCACTCATAAGTCACGCCACGTGATATCGGACAGTGTGGTATGGATGGGAAGCGCGCGGGCAGGAACAGAACAGGAAGCGACGGCGACACGGCTTCTTCTGTTCGCACACAGTTGCCTGTGGAACATGCCAGCCGGACGCGGCACGGGCACTGAAAAGACTCGATGATAAGACGGGGGCTCGGCTCGTGCATGCAGCCGCTGCCGTGGCTCCAATTCCCCGGAAGAAATCAGATCAGATCGCGCCATGTAGCGTATTGCCACTTGCCAGCGCTTCCTACCAGTGGTCTCTGCGAGCTATGGAAAGAGGGCAACGCAAGGACTTCCGTCAACAGACACGAGCTTCCGACGACTTGCCTGTAGGCTCCGTTCGCCTCGCTGAATCTTGATTGAAATTAGCTGAAAATACTGTTTTGGTTGAAATGCTGTGAGAGAAAAATACTATTTTGGCTAAAAAAAGAAGCCGAACAAATCAAATATAAGGTAAACCGAACATGCAATATGAATCATAGACAAGTCTCAAGTGCTCAAACTAACCGAACCAAGTGCTAACATGAGAAAACACATTAGCACAACACCTGCACTTGTTAATTTTGGGGCTTGTTCTTGGCTTGGATGGATAGCCCTCGAAACAAGCTTTCCAGAAAAGTCCAAGATCACTGAAAATGGAGTTTAGAGTAAAAAGTTATGGCATTTTCAGTGATGTGACATGTGTTGTTTCTGGGAGCTGCGGCAGTGCCGTGAATTTTCGCAGCAGTGCCGCGCCGCGGTAGTGCCACACCTGTATAGGTCATAACGGCTAGTTTTTGAACTGCAACGGCTAGCTTGTGTGGGGTGGCTATAAATACCCATCCCACGCGCTCCTGGTGTAGCTGTTGATGCTCTAACCATTCCAAAATCTTTCCAAACCATTTGTGAGCTCTCTCTAACCTATCTCTTTGTGAGAGTGAGTGATTAGTGATTGATTAAGTATTAGAGAGCAATTAAGAGCAAGCCAATCCTTAAGCACTTATCGGGCTTAGTCAATCTTCATTGCGCATTTATTACTCTTGGAGGTGAAGCCTTCTAGACGGCTATACGTCATCCGACGAGCTCCCGTGCTGGTGGTAAGCCACGGGACAATTTGTTAATCACCCTATTGATCTAGTGAAAACGTCCCATCTCAAGAGTTCACTCTTTTGACTTGAGAACGAGGATACGGGTTGCAAAGCCTAAGCCTTAGTGGCTTCCTCAACAACATGGACATAGGCAAGCCTTGGTGGCGAGCTGAACCACGTGATAAATCTTGTGTCTTGTCTCCTTTATGTTTTGAATTGTATTATCCGTGTTCCACTCGATCTACTTGGTTGTGCATGTTTATGAGTACAGGTACTTAGTGGACTTGCCACTGGACATCTCCATGCACATCTCCAAGTTTGGGTTCTAGACGTAGCTGCTGTTGAAGTTCTCTACGCAGGCGCGGCAGTGCCGCATTCTCAGCGAGGCAGTGCTGCAGTGCGGCAGTGCCGCGTGATGAAGCAGCAGTGCCATGCACTCTACTAATCCGCTGCAAGTTTTATTTGTTGTTAATTTTCAGAAGCGTCTATTCACCCCCTCTCTAGGCGACATCAAGGTCCTTTCAGGTCAGGGGTGACCTACGGGCGCAGAGACGGGATGAAGTGCGTGCATGAGGTGGGACGAAGGCGAACGGGTCGGGGCGAAGGCGAACGAGGGCGGGCTGCGTGGGCGTCCGGACACGCGTTTTGACGCTAGCCACGCCCTAAGTATTAGTGTTTTTTATATATTTAGTCCAAGATGAGATAGTTTGAACCCTCGAAATACGAGATAAAGACTTATTTTAGTCGGGGAGGAGTATCTAAAGTCAAACTAATTACCTAGCGGTTATTTAACTATATGATAGAACTATCTGACAATTCATTATCACTAGTATAAATGTTACATGCAAGTATGCAACACGCAAAAATCATGAATATATAGGTAAGTACTAGTTGAACTACGATTTACATTGCATAGAGCAATAATAGAACTGACAATCTGGCAATATACTATTAATACCACATAGGCTTGTTTGTTTTAATTGGGAATGAAGCAAAATTGTACATCAAAGAAGGATAACTGGCTGCTCTTTATTATCCATGTTTAGCCAAAGCGACTATGGAAACGATCCAAAGACGTTTGACGCATGTTTAACCCGTAAGGTCTATGCACGCTTGATTGGACAACATGTCTCACAATATGTATGAACAATGAACTTGTGAGGACCCCAAGATATGAGTTGACTCCTTTCTCTCTCCTTCGTGAGTCGCCTTTTCGGTAGTTGCATCGATTTATTGAGAAGGCCTTAAGGTATACGGGTCTGTTAGATTTATGTCCAAATTCTGCCACTACTCGCCACAGCTAAGATTAGCCTTTGTTTGCTTTGCGGCCGAACCTGCCACAATATGTGGCGTGCTGCAATCACCAGGGTGCTGCAATCACCAAGGTAGACGCGCCATGTTTTCCCTCTCCTCTGGTCGCCAAAAGTTGGGCATAGCTTTTGCTCGCCGTACATGCAGCGTCCCATGACATTGGGTGTGGCCAGTTCTGGTCGAGAACCACGCGCCCTACATTCACCAAATACGAGGAATAATATTTATTTTTTTAAAAATGAATACTAATACTTTTTTAGCAGTTAAAACACAATACAATTTTATTATAATGCCAAAATAAAATATTTTAAGTTTATCAAATTTATTAAAAAATTCTAACATAAAATAAGTGTCTTTAGAATATTTATCTTATTATAAATTTTGATATTGATCTTTTATAAACTTAATCAAACTTTATAGGAGTACAGTTTAATTAAAAACATAATTAGATTTGCATATTTTCATCCTGTTCGTTTGAACCGCTTATCAGTGTTTTTTTCTTATCATAAATCAGCATGAGCCGACTTATCAGCCGCAGAAACCATCAGCCACAGCTCCTTTGACGATGCAGTAAGTTTCTTTCTATACAGTTTACAAAATTGCGACTATTATCTGTTGCTGTTGGCAAGCTAAGCAATGAAGGGGTGGCAAGCTAAACAATGAAGGGAGGAGGCGGTCTATTATCTATTTGGATTTCAGTTCCTCCTTTCTCTCTCGCACACAACAACCTCCTCTTCTCCTCCTCTGCTGCCTGCTCCCTGCCTCCCTGTCAAGCTAGCAGTACAGCTATCAGTGCAAATTCAACCTGCCACAGTTCTCCTCGCTTCCGCAGCTCTCCTGCACAGAGATTCGCTGCTCCTCTTGTCGGCAGGCTCGATTCCTGGTTGCATTCCGCAGCAGCACATCGATCTGCTCCCCCGCCAGTCGCCAGATTCGATTGATGTGGTGTGCTCTTGGAGCCAGGGGCTGTAATTTGGCACCAGCTTCCCGTGCTCCCATCCCCGACTTTGATGAGGCTCTCCCATTGTGAGAGCCACTGCGCCGGCCCCTTCCGCTTCATCCCCTGCCTCCCCCAATCCAAAGATGCGAGCCGCGACGCTGCCTCTCCGCCGGCGCCGCGCCCGGCAGCCGTCGCAGAGGAGGAGCCGCCTCCGGTTCAGAAGATAGAGGTGCCGGTAGCCGCCGGAAAGGACGACGACGCTGAGAAGCGCGAGGATGGCGAGAAACCGGCGGCGCCGGCGCCGGGTAAGAGTTGCCTGAAGAAAACCAGCTGCGGCGATGACGAGTGTGCCGACAAAGGCAATGTAAAGTGGCTGGATTTGCTCGGGAAAGATCTGACAGAGATTAAGGAGTACGAGCCAAGGTATATCTCATCTTTCTCCATGAACTTGCCGCAGCTGTCCATGAATTTGGAATCTTGGTTTAGCGTAGCATCCGCTTGATGGTTGAATTGCTATCATGCGCTGCTGATGTTCTGTTGCACATACATTTAGATCAAACTAGATGAGTTTTCTACATGCTTGGATTTCAGCGAGCTAATTTTCTGCTAGACACGGTTCTTATTAAATTAGTTTGTGTTGTGTTGTGTGAAACCATGCTTATATGCCAGCCAGATAGGATCAAAGATATTTCCATTTGTTTTGGTCCGATGATGGCTGCCATTGTCTTGCTATTCTAGGGATAGAACAAGTCTACTTGTACTAAACAACTTGGGAAACTTGGTCGTAGTGTTTCCGTCAAACATTTAGCCATGTAGGAGTAGGTGTACAAACCCAATAATTAAGGAGACAATATTTTTGGGCGGCACTGCATTTATATGTGCATGATTGTACACTTGTAGCAGAGATTAAGTCTGCATTTTTTGTTCAGATGACCATTCCAATTCTGTACATAAATCACAATTGTGGATTTATTGTTGTATGAGTGTTTATTACAGAATCTTTTAGCTATATGCTCACATTTTTGATATTCTATCAGCTTCATATTTGTATATATACTAGCAAAATTACATTGAAGCAATCTGAGTGCATGGTTTCATCTGAGCATACTTGATTTCTCAATTTTACTGCATAATTTCATACTTCTGTCAGTCAGTTATTTTTTGTTCTGCATTTCTACTTTGAAAGCATTGGAGTAACTCGCAGGTTAGATGCACAAA